TGGATGCTTCTACTGTGGCTGGAACGGAGCGCCATTATTGGTTACTTCTTTCGCAGCCATTTGTGGCACGTATCCTAGCAATTTACGCCATTGTCGGAGTCGGCGAAAGCCAGTGGTGACTAATCAATTTGCGGTCGAAATGGTCAAGTGTTTAATCATTCTGTGTCCATCCTGTCGGACGAAATGGTCAAAATCTCATATTTGGCGATATTAAAAGCGGAAACCTAATCTTGAAGAATATGACGCCTTCCTATGCCAGCGGTCGCCCGACTATTGAAGTTCTTTATTTTCTCGGCCAATCTCATCTGATTGGTGAAAAGATGGAGGTGGTCATGCAGGTGTCTTGAGGAGGTGGAGGGTCGGCTTTGCTGAGACTGACGGAGTTGAACTGATCTCTGCTGGGTGGGTAGATTTGAACAGGGCGAGTAGGTATGTTCGTGAACTTTGTGACAAAGTGGATGAAGAGTAAGAATCAATAACGTTTCTGGGTGCTATAAGCAGTTAATTGAACCAATCCGCATTGCCTTTACACATATTTCTAATACAGATTGTTGCTGACAACAAAGAAAACCATCATAACTGACAGAGCAATAACGCACGAATTATGAGAGCAGACAGGAAGGCAAAGAAATGCGTACAAACCGTTCTTGTGTCCAAGAGCCAAACCGGCAGGAGGCCAGTTTGTAGCATAGCGTAGCGGCATCTCCGATAGAATCACTGGAGTAGTAGACGTCCCGAAGGCATAACTTCTTCCGATGTCTGTATTCACCTTGCTGGTAGTTATAAGTCGATATCAAATCTCTCAGGGAAGTACATATTATGGCCAATAATATTGGCTCTGTGAATAGAGGCAGGTTGGCGTTTTCTCAAAAGGCGAAATATTTCTGTCGAATCTATAGAAGCTGTAGAAATGAATTCTTTCTTTTCACACTGATTGCATAGTTTAATATTTTTAAGCGCCTCAGCTTTTCACATACAACGATCTTTGTTTATTGTACATTTACGGGTTTAACGGAGCAACTAGCTTAGAGTCAATGAAATTAATTGTGCAAGTTAAGGAACACCTGCCTAAAAGCATTAGAAACTGAAGTTATAAGAGCACCTGTCTCAAAGTAACCGAATCAAAAGTTTTAGGAGCGTCTCCTTTAAAGTCTCTGAAACAAAAATAGTTATAGGAAAACCGGCCTAAAAGTAACTAGACCAAAAAAATTATAGGTATACTTGTCTTAATCTATCTGGAACTAAACTTAACAGGACGCCTGAAACAAACGTTATTAGCGCGACTTAAATTAAACTCAAACAAAGTTTATTGGAGTCTCTAGCTTAACGTTGGTATCTCCATTAATTCTCTAAAAAGCCTACTATGATGAAAAAAATATTCTAAACATCATTTCTTGAATATTTAATTCTTTAATCCTTTTTCAGAACATTGGAAATTTTGATTAGAAAATCTTGTTTTTCTTGTGTCAGCATACTAACTTTTAGCGTCTTTTTTGTGGTGAAAGACATCAATTTGGAAATTCTTACAAAAATCAAATAATTGTCATATTTTAATGAAATTTTCAGGACTTATTTTAGAAATGTTTTCTTTTTAGAAAATCTTGGTAAAAATATTAATTTTCACGTGTTTCTCCCCAATTAATTTTATGAAAACTTGAAACATTTTTAGTGACTATATTAGTTAAAAGCAGAAATATTTAAGAGAGAATTTAATTCATTAATTTTATTTTGTAAAATCGGATCCCGTCTTAACGAAAATCTGCTCTGAATCGTAAAATAAAACAAACGCAATATAATTAAGACATTATTTAATTAGAAAAGCTTTTAATTGCTTTTAGGAATAATATGTATTAAGGACAATATTTTCTTAAGAAAAAATATTTTGATGAATAATGAATTACATTTTGTAGAATACGAATTATATTTTGATGAATAATGGATTTTTATAAGATTTGTCTTCGTTTTTTTACAATTTTAATTAAAATAATTTATACAGTTTTTAAATCTTTTAAAATTCAGTTTCAATGGTGTAACTGTTAGACAACAGTGTTATTAAGTAAAACTATATTTACTAATCACAAATCGTAAAACTTATTACAATCTGATAACGATCAGTATTTTAAAAACGAATTTTGAATTGTTTTTTGTATGTGAAGATTTTTGAAAATACGGAAGTGCATACAAGACATTATCAGAAAATAAGAGTAATAACTATATTACATTTAAAGCCGAAATGTATCTTTAATTCAATAAAGCATTAGATTATAAAGAATATTTTCTTAAATTTTTAAGCTTATTTAAAAATTATATATAAAAGGCGCTCACGTTATATTCAATTATTTTTACCCTCATAGAACAACATTCAGCATCAATTTGGCATCAAGATGTCAAATACGTCAACAGTTACAACCAGCTACATCTACAGTGCTGTTCGATAAAAGTGACTCACCTAATTTTTTTTTTAGTAAACATATTTTTTGTCTAATGTTTTTGGGGTTAAAATAATTTTTAATCTTACTAATCTAAAGACCACTGCCGACCACCTAGGAAAAAAGTTTATTCACCCTAAGGGATTCTATTGATAATTATAAATTTGGATATAAATGAGATTCTGGAAAAAAAACTCTGTGCAAAAAAAGTGACTCAGATATCGCATTCTAATGATTATACCGGCAAATTTAAAGAACTTTTGACAAAATATTTTACAATACACTCAGAACAACATTCTAGAGAATTCTATAATAGCGTAAATTATATAGAGAGTATTCTAGAATATTCCAGAAAGCCTCAGACAGTATAAAAAAAGCCTTGAAATAGCCACTCAAGTCACTAACCAGATGAAAGGGTACAAACACGGATCAGAACCATTTAAGGCATCTATTATTGCCCTCTCAAAAGCAGGCAAATCTACGAGAGAAATTGCAGAAATTGCTATAACCTCACAATCAACTATCTCTCGAGTGCTTAGGGCACATAATGACGCCACTAGCTCCAAAAAGGAAACAAGGGGACTAAAGAAAAAGATTGATGATAGAACTGACAGGGTAATCAAGAGAGAAGTTGCAAAGAATAGGACTATAACTAGCCAAGAAATTGCAGCCAGACTTAGCGAAGAGCAATGTGTTAGTCTTGTCTCTTCAACAGTCCGTCAGAACAAGGTTACAAATCTTGTTAGAACAAGTCTACAAATCTTGTACACGAAGGTTTAAGCCGATAATAAGCAAAGCCAACAAAGCTAAGAGGCTTGAATGGGCTCACTATTACAAGAATTTCACCGTAGAAGACTGGAAGAATGTTCTCTTCTCCGATGAAACGAAAGTTGAGCTAAATTCAGAGGATAAGGTGAGTCACTTTTATCGAACGGCAGTGTATGTTAAAAATGTATCTCTGTGATATTTTAACCTTAAAGTATATTTTATTTTTGGAACATTTTTTTAATAAAGACAATTACATTGAAATGTCGGAAGGGTAAAACTAGTGCTGAATTAAAAAAAAAAAATACATAAATTTCAAAACGAAATATCCTTCCAATCAATCTAAATTTGTTTTTAAATAGAGCAAAGTATTTTGCTAATTAGAAATATTAAATTCAGTCTATTAGCTTGAAATTAAAAGTAAAATAAAAGCTCAAGAAAGATTTTTCACTTTTAAAACTTCATTTACGTAACTCGAATCTTTGGAGTAACCTACAGCGTGGTCCGAAAGTCTTGTCATCCGCTACTTTCTTTTTCAACGCTCTGTGGAGAGAGACTTTCTCATGAACGATACCAGAATATCTATCAGTTGAAGGACGCCGTTCGGAAAGCCTTTGTAACAATCAACTGTTTCTTAACATATCACTCAGGAGATCGTGCCGCATCATTTTGTGCCACGAAAATGATGGTAGTTCATACAGACCTTTTCGATGGTTGACAGCGTCAATTAAAATGAATAAACCTAATCCAGTACATACGCTTTGTATTACTGTATTACTGGTTCTATTGTCCGCATTACTTTTTGGTAGGGGTGACGACATTTTCGGTCCACCCTGTACTTTAAAATAACTGAAAGAATGTTTATAGGTGCACTGTCTAAAGGTAATCCGGAACAAGGAATATAGCTGAGCCTATCTAAAGGTAATCCGGAACAAGGATTATAGGTGCGCCTATCTAAAGGTAATCCGAAACAAGGATTATAGGGGCGCCTGCCTAAAGGTAATCCGAAACAAGGATTACAGGGGCGCCTGTGTAAAGGTAATCCGGAACAAGGATTATAGGTGCACCTGTCTAAAGGTAATCCGGAACAAGGATTATAGGGGCGCCTGCCTAAAGTTAATACAGAACAAGTATTACAGGGACGTCTGCCTAAAGGTAACCCGAAACAAGGATTACATTGGCGCCTGCCTAAAGGTAATCCGGAACAAAGATTATAGAGGCACCTGCCTTAAAACCTTCGAGGTCAGCTTGCTAAATTAATCACAGAGATGATTTGATCGTACAGCGACTTAGATCCTCACTGTGTACCCCATTAATTATCTACTGATTATAAGCAATTAATATTCAAACAAAAATTACATTTATAAAATGATGCACATCTTTGCCTAACAATTATATGTAGGCGCAAGTACTTACAATGCCTTATAATTGGGACCCCAATTTTATTTTCAATCAAAAATGGAGCATAAGAAAATTGGTTCTTAGGATGTCAAGTGCCGAATTTTGGTTGGTGAAACCACTAAAGATCGAACTCGCTACAAATGTTCAGTCTAGACTGTCCCAATCTTTATTGACATATTCACCATGTTTCGGCCGTTGAACGCTTGTATTTTTGAGTTGCTACTCAATTTACTTTATATCTGTATGTACGTAGTTTGCTTCCAGTAGAAGTTTTGCATTATTCTAACATCCTTTCCAAGTAGATGTAGTTTTCCTAGCAGTTTACTTGACAAAGACCTACTCTTCTTATCTATCTATCTATCTATCTATCTATCTATCTATCTATCTATCTATCTTTTTTCTTAGCTATCTATCCATCTACCTCTCTCTTTTCTTATCTATCTATATAACTATATAACTCTATCTATCTATCTATCTATCTATCTATCTATCTATCTATCTATTTTCTTATCTATCTATTATTTTTCTTATCTATCTAACTCTATCTATCTCTTTTCTTATCTATCTATCTATCTATCTATCTATCTATCTATCTATCTATGTCTTTTCTTAGCTATCTATCCATCGACCTCTCTCTTTTCATATCTATCTATCTATCTATCTATCTATCTATCTATCTATCTATCTATCTTTTTGCTTCTCTGTCTATCTATCCATCTTTTTTCTTATCTATCTATCTATCGATCTATCTACTATGTCTTTTTTTAGCTATCTATCCATCTCTCTCTCTCTTTTCTTATCTATCTATCTATCTATCTATCTATCTATCTATCTTTTCTTATCTATCTATCTGTAGTTATCTCTTTTCTATCTATCTATCTATCTATCTATCTATCTATCTATCTAGCGCATGTTGTTTTTTCCCTTGTTTCCTGTTCCGGATTCTGTTTCCGGTTACCCTTAACGTCTTTTCCTTCTCTTTCACTTCCAGCAGCTCCCTTGCGTCTCAGTGGCGTTATCCCCTTGCTTGCAGTGAATTGATTAAAAAAAATGAAAATTGCCCAGTTACTGGATAAAAGTTGTTTCAGGTTTAAAAACCATTGAACACAAGTAAATCCATCATGGAATATTGGGTTCGCCAAACTGGTCTAAATGAAGGACAACTCTGAATTCCCAACTGGTTCCTGTCCTAATTACACAAAGACTAAACCTTAAACCCCATTCGGGTTTAGTGAAATTGGGTACTGACAAGAGGAAACTTTTGTTCTAGTTCACTTCGTCTTTCTATCAAGCTCAAATTCGGTAGAGAGATATTTCTTTAGGTGTTGTGGTACGATCCACCTAATTTACATAGTGGAGCACCGACCATATAAATATGGTTGGTACCGGGAAGACGGGGGACCGAAGAAGAGATCCAATCCAGAGAGTCTGCCCGACTGCGACTAAGTCAACCCATTCTACAGGAATTGTCTTCCCAAGAATATACCAAACTATCTGTAAATATTGTGTACACGTTCTTGTGTCAATACATTTTGTTTAAGTACATTTTGTGTTGGATTATTATTATTCCATGCTTTATTCAAGTTTCAACATTAGGTAAGAAATTACTGCCCCACTTTGGGTCTATGGATATGTAACTGTCGTGATAATCAAACGGAACTCAGTGATAAGTTTCCACATATAAGGCGTTTCTGGATTACAACCCACTGGGCGCCGTTTGTATCCAGTTTTGCGAATGAAAGGTGACCTAAACAAAACACTTTACGAAATCAAAGAAAGGATCACGATAATAGAAAAAAGAGAAGATATACTCCAGATATGAATCTGTGATTTTCTAAGCGTAGCTTATATGTGGCACAAGGCCGAATGTATGGGACACCCTGTGCGGATTAAACTCACTACTCTGTCATGGCGAGACAAGCTTGATAACCAATACACCACGTCGAAGTGCCCTACTCCAGATATGAAATGGATTTGCCAGGGAACGTTTTCACGGTGCGAGAGAGAACCCTACAACGGTTGAAAATACGAAAGGGGCCAGAGATATTAAGAAGTGAAGTAAGATTAGCACTGTATAAGTTAATAAGAAATATCTATCTATCTATCTTTTCCTATCTAACTATCTATATCTATCTCTTTTCTATCTATCTATCTATCTATCTATCTATCTATCTATCTCTTTTCTTATCTATTTATCTTTTCTTATTATCTATCTTTTCTTATCTATCTATCTATCTATCTATCTATCTATCTATCTATCTCTTTTCTTATCTATCTATCTTTTTTCTTATCTATCTTTTTTCTTATCTATCTATCTTTTTTCAACATGGCCAGCCGGAATCTTAACGGAAATAGTTTCAACATCATGTGCTGATCTGAAGAAATAAATAGGGTTCCCTTTTCTTTATTCTGTAAGTTTTAATTCGGCCTCCAATTAATCATGAGTTTACGCGCAGAAGACGGTCTCCAACATTATCCTTCCAGCGAACGCTTTAATCTGTAAGCCAATAAAACAAATTAAATAAACATACATTTTTAGGACAAACATGATTAAATTTCTCGCGCAAGTACAGATTCCGATGAAAATTATTTTTTTTTAACAAAATTAATGCAGCAGTTATACACTAAATGTCGTTTTCTTCAAGACGTAGACGATCGTAGATTGCTACATACTATTTTTCTTTATTACCATATTTTCCGTATGGTAAGACGCATTTTCCCCTGTAAGAAATTACTCTACATTTTAGCACTCAAAGCTCAAATTGCCAAATCTCACAAACCCGAGTCCCGAGATACAATAATCATAAACCTCACATATATAATATAAAGTCCTACTTTTCATACATGTGTAATAAATTCCATATATTTCGTTGGTATCTCTATCTATAAAAGGCAGGATGTGTGTGTGTGTGTGTGTGTGTGTGTGTGTGTGTGTGTGTGTGTGTGTGTAACGAATGCACGGGCCAAAATTTCCATGCACATGCTCCAAGTTAGTGTGAAGACCAAGACCGACTTTGCATTTCCCAACTCCCATCGATAGTGGAAATAATCGAGTTTTTCATGCTTCTACAGCAGTTTTCATGTAGTTTGCGGCCATTTTCTACTGGCCAGAGTGAGAGCCAATAGCTGGCTGCCACGAATAGGCAGGAAGATTCTATTGGCCAGCGTGAGAGCCAACAGTTGACTGACACGAATGTTAACTAGCATGCTAGCATGCAAAAAAAATAAAATAAATCGATAGCTACATTCGTCACAAGTGGGAAAAATTTAAATCTGCATGGCACTTTACTCCAATTGGCTCACTGGCTTGCTTAAACTCAACGTTGATTTTGATTCCGCAGAACTGGGTTGGTTGTGAAAAAAGTATTTGTTGTTAACATTCTTTTTTCATTCGGTTATTCCAGTTACGAGTCCTTTTTTAAAGCTGATCGTTTTGTGTTCATTTTGTTTAGTTCTTTTTTCATAACAGATTTAATGTTTAGTATAGAGCTTAGAAAAAATTCGCAGTGTGAGATAGGCAAGAAGTAAGGCATGTAGCAACATCAGCACGGCAAAGGGCACTCCTTTAAAGGCAAGGAAGGGCAAAAATATTTTAAGTCAAGTGATAGCGAATGCTGTATGAGTCGTACGATTTTTGAATCAAGCACGGGCAACACCGGGCCATGCTGCTAGTCTTACTATATATGTTGTTTTGGTTTGTGGTGTAAGTATACGTTGCTTCCGATATGAATAGGTATAACATTGTGTTAAACTAATGAAAATCTATTTAATAATAACCCCAAGGATTAAATAATAGGTAAAAAATATGACAATTTGCTTTGACAGAATAAAATAATGCCATAGAGTACAGTGGGTGACTTGAACTTGATAGCTTGGTTTGTTTTACGGTATATCAACCCATTGCGTCATTTAATGCAGAACTGTAATATTTTTTCTAAATAACGCCTTTTATTTAAACATTCAAAAACTTCCTTTTAAATAATAAGACTACAGTTAGTTATATTTAATTTTTGAGTTATAATTTTGAAATCAGTTTAATTTTTCTGAGAAAACTGGAATATGAAAATCGTTTGGCTCGGTTTGGTTTGTTTAACGGCATATCAACACTTTATGGGTCATTTTTTCCGACATTTTATTCTCTTGTGAGCTTTGGCAGATTTTTTTACGGCTGCTAATTTTTTAATTTTTTTTCTATGACAATGTATTGCTGGTAAATTTTTGTAACGTAATTTTTAACAGTCTGGAGGCTCACTATTTTCCAATAGCTGGGACTCTAACAGGTGCTACCATGCTCGGTCAGGGAGGACCCGGGAACACCAGCAGTTAAGAGATGGTTCCATGCTTCTCAAAACCTCCCAATCAGAGCCCTTTCTGTCGGATTTTATTTATCGTCATGACCAGGACGGTTACGGTAAGCTACTAAATCCTAAAATATATTTGTTTTCAAAAAGTACCTAGCTAAATATAGGGTGCGTCTTACCCCTTGTAGCATCTTAACATACGAATAATACGCTATCTGTGAATTACCATTCTTGGAAATGACGGTACTGTGTTTTACCTTACTCTTTTGTATTCAAAGTTGTTGTTCTATGAGACTGGCTGACATCCAAGTACAGATAGCCCACTCTTGACCTGTTTCTTAAACCAGAAAAGATGGAGTCATGCCTTCCTAAGAGCATTTTATACGTAAGTAAGTGGAGATAATTATCCGAAATTTACTAGGCAGGGATTTGAACTCGACTCGTCGATATCCATTTAACGCGACGGTAACCATTACGCTAAACGTACACCGCATTTTTATGCAAATCTAACAGACTGCACCAGAACTGTGGAATTTCCAAGTTTCGAAATCGGAATGTTAACTGGTCATCGTCGCCCACAATCTTGTTCGTACTTCTTCATACCAGCGCCAAGAAAGACTTGAAGAAAGTGCATTGGTTCATTTGAAGAAGCATTTAGTCAGCCAGTCCCATCCCCATAGCTCCGCAAGGCTGCGAGCTCTTAATTCTGCATTCATCTTCAAGAAACAAACAAATAAACAGTTGGAATCGCCGTCGAAAGAAACGGTTTGTAAGCGGTTTCATTGTATTCAGTCAGCGCTGAATTACCTCGTTATGGCTGCACCAACAAAGACGGACAATTACCTCAGCCAGAAGAAAATGCACTACAGGAAGTTAAGAGCTAATTTGATTGAGTTTTGCAAACTCGAAAGCAATTTTAATAAAACTAATTATGAAATTTCAAACACCACTTGAAAAGAAAATAATTAATTGTACTTTTTGGAATGAAGTGGACATTTTTAGAATTCTGGCATTTAATTATTATGTTTTTATTGTATTTTTTTTTTTTTTTTTGTTGCTTCTTTTATTAAAACCAATCATGGAGTGACTTGCTCAAGGTTGAAATAAACTCAGTGAACTTTTATTGGAATCTTCAGTGGTTGCAGTTTCAATGCCAAATTAGATATTTAACCTTCAAGAATAACGGAGATTTTTTTTCGAGAAATAGGATGTGAAAAATAGAAGGAATTTTCGGCTGATTCAGGGTAGTATTCAATAATTTATTGTTTTGTTTTATTTATAAATCTTTCTTTAATGTGGAAGGTAGTTAGTTATGTTCAGTTTGGTTATTAGCTAGATGAAGAAACACCATTGTCACTAACGACTTGCCATTAAGTGGGAGATATTTCAAGGTGGTATATGTGTGAAATATTCCTTCTGAACACTGTAAAAGAGGGAGTTACTGTACAATATGTTGTATTTTTTGTGGGTGGCAGGTGAGAAATGGCGGCAAGTCAAGGCCTAAAACGGGCGGCACACGCTCTATCTCGGGCTGTACACGTCTAGCTATGCTTCTGTTGTTATTGTTATCAGTATAAATTATTTCTCTCTGATATGTTGTAAAGTTAAAATAAATTAGCTTTCTTTTGAAATTAACGTTAATCCGAAATGATAGTTATTTTTACGCAATCATTGCACACCAGAAACAAATGTAAGAATTTAAAAAAAAAAATTCAAGTTGACATACCTTTGTTTGTATTTCAAATTTAATGTTAATTATAATTTAATATTTCTACCGAGGTCTTTTTAAGTTAAAATGACTTTACGTTTATTTCCTAATTAATGTTAATTATTTCTAAATAAAATCCAGAATTTCTTTTTTAAAACATTTGTCAAATTGAAATTATTTCTAAGATCTTGCAAGATAAGTCATCCCTGCTTTTTCTACATTAATGTTAAATTTAATTATTTCAATTTTAGAACTTTCAAATTATAATTATTTTCATCCCTAAATTAAAATAATTTAATATGCTAATTGTTTATAAGCAAGACCTTGCAATATAAAATATCGTTTTGACCAGAAGAATAATAAATAGTAAATTGTTTCTATTCAAAACGTCGCAAGCGGGCACCTCTAGGCGGTGTAATAGAAAGCTTGCCTCGCTAGAACAATTACGACTGAGCAGTGAGTTCGATCCACAGTGTGTACGCTATACTTTGTGCCGCATCTAATCTATGCTTGGAAAATCACTTCAAGTTGTCGCAAGATATTTATTTGCCAAATGTATGGATATTATTTTTTTAATCAATTCACCCCAGGTAAGGCGGTAATTCCACGAAGATACAAGGAGCGATTGGTAGTGTAAGAAAGTTATAAGATTTTAGAAGGAATCGGAAACTCCATCCTTAATAGGAAACAAGTGATATACCTCTATTCCTGTTTAGAAGATTGGGGAGGTGTGTGAACCGTAGGATAGCCGAACTTATCTACTTTTATTGAAGGGAAAATAAATACATAATTAATAAATATAATTTCAGAGTTTAGTCTGAGACGTTCGACGTTTAGTATTGATGTAGACTTTAGAAGGAACCGGAAACCCAATCCTAAAAAAGAAACAAGAGAAAAACCTCTTCACCTGTTCAAAAGACAAGGGAGAACTGTGAACCAGGGCATAGGCGAATCTATCGAGGAAAAATAAAAAAAAGTTAAATAGTAAATACAATTTTAGATTTTAGATGATAACATAAGAAATATAGAGTTAAATAGACTTTAGAAGGAACCGGAAATCCAGTCCTAAACAGGGAATAAGGGAAAAAACATACTCTTGTTCAAAAGGCGGAGGAGGAGTTTGAACTGGGAAATAGTCGAACCTATTTATTCCTACTGAGGAAATATAAATAAATAAATAAGAATAAATGATAAATAAAGTTTCAGAGTTTAAGCGGAAATATTAAAAGTTTTGTGTTGAAGTAGAATTTAAAAGGAACCGGAAACCAAATCTTAATCAGGAAAGAAGTCATAACTTTCTTACTTTTTCGAAAGACTGAGAAGGACTGTGACATTAT